ATTGCAAGATAAGTTCATTTTAATTATTATTATGAAATAAATAAATAAGCAAAAAAATACAATTTATTTTTTACATGCAAAATTCATACAGCTTTTACCAATACTTTTATATATTTTTCTTACAACTCTGAACCAATTCTTTTCTACTATTAAAATAGAAATTTTCCCTTCCAATTCTTTAACTTCTTTATTCAATCAGTAAATTTACTGAAGTTTCTTAACAATACTATCTAAACCTAATAGCAAACTAAAAATAATTCTGTTCTCCCATTCACACATACTGACATATAATTGATTTTTCTGTGGATATGCATTGTGGGAAAAATAGAGTCCCGCTTGAATGTAGGTATATATGTACATATATTTTGTCATTGAATGCATAAACTTGAATGAATTCAGTTAAGTAGAGCATGACTGTTTCGGCTAATCAAGGATCTCTGGGGTCCCTTGGTTTCTGCTCTTTTGTTGTTGTTGTGCGGCGCCGTTGCCACTGTCAAGGACGACGTTCACGTCCTTGTTGCCGAATGCTCGTCACCAGCGTCTGTTAATTTATGTCCTCGTACCCAAAGTTCCAGCCAGCGCGACTCTCATTGAGGTTTTTTGTTTTCTTTTTTTTGGTGCGTGCCGAGCCGCAATCTGCCCGGGACTATTAGATTTTATTGAGCCGCTGATTTATACAGCGCGCTTCAATTCAATTTCGGTCGGACGGCGCTCATGGGAGCGGGAGGAGGGACGTCTAACAAAACTTTATAGTCGGGCCAGAGCAGCTTCAAATGGGAATTTAATTTTCACACGGGCGAAAATCGATAAATGCGCAGCGAAAAAAAATGGAAAAATGGAACCACAGAAAGACAACAACAACAAATACATAAATTACCTGCATAATTTTGTTACAATTTTCGCTATGCAATTTCTATAAAAGCTGCCTTCTCTTTTTTGTTTCTCTCTGTCTCTCTTTCTCCCTCGCTCTTGCTGTCTGTCTGCCCAGTTTTTGCTCAGATAACCGCCGACAAATGGGGCGTGGCACTTGGGATAGGCATTCGCGTCCATTTTATTTACATTTATTGACCGCACGGACTGAGTGTCTGTGTGTGTGTCTGTGTGTGTGTCTGTGTGTGTGTGTGCGGGATCTGCTTTGTATGTTGGGCTAGTCGAGTGGCTGGGATTTCAAACTGTGTAATTTGCAGCACGTGTGAACAGTTTTCTATTAGACGCGCCCGCGATGCCAACACTGGCGTAAATGTGCAACGGAAGTCAGCAAAATCGTAACGGAAGTGAATTGAAGTGGCCCGCTCTAGCCGGGATTGTGTAATAGATATATGGATCTAGATAAATTAGGAGAGCACTAGAGCTAGTCGAGCTGCGAACTTGATAACTTTATATGGGCTGCCCAGCCCAGTCGAGCAGATTGATTAGCGGCAGATTGAGATTACAACCAAATCAATTATCTCTGCATATGATATAATACATGCTATATGAACTCTTTAAACAGATTTCCAACTCAAATTCTAATTAGGGAAATACAAAAATTAGCTATGTGAATGAAAGCAGATGATGTAACATGTAGACTCGTTAATTAATTTTCAGGCTATTTGGAATACAACAATTCGGAAATTATGATTTGTGCTGATACACACTATATTTATCGAGAAATTGAGTTCGATAATTATATAGGCCGAAAAAGTGGCTTTACTACAAATTAAGTAGATTGCGCCACATGTTTGCCTTGGTGTCAATTGGTGTTGCTATATAGGTTAACAGCCACACACACACACACAAGCAAAATGGACACTCATGAGCTAGAGAGCTGAGGGCGAGCTGTCAGCGCGGTTTCCAATTATCCAAAACCCAAATGAATCCGAAAAACTTGTCGGCTGAGGCACATTTCCATGGCACGGCCACAAATCAAAGGCAAGTTTCACTTTTCCTGTCAATTTTGCTACAGTCCAAAAAGTTTCGTGTGGTCAACCACGGCTGGTTCGTCGGTTGGGTGGTTGGGTGGTTGGGTTACTTTTCGAACTGCTGAGCTGGCCAGAAATATCTCTCCTGTCCTGTATAAATTTGATTTGCTAATGAGCCGAGTCCGAACCATATGAAATTTAAAATACTTTTTCTCTCTCTCTCTTTCCCTCTCTCTCTCACTGGCCTTGGCTTGCCTCCTCGACAGCTCCTGCGGCTTATCAAGTGTGGTATGTTGGCCAACTGTGGTTTTGGCGCCCCCAGAGCTGTGGCACGTATTTGAGCAGCGGTTTTAATTGGTCCAGCTGTGGATGTGGGTCACCCAAAATTATATTTGAACGTGTGATAAATGAATAAGAAAGCTGCAACTTTTTGATTGCCGAGGGAGACCCGCAAGAGCTGCTAAACTGAAGATACCTGCTTCGTTTTAATTGATTATATTTAATCAATAAGTTACAAAGTGTTTGCTTAAGTTCTGAGCTCTCAACAACTTACAAAATAGTTGGTATTTTGTTGCATCACAGACTTTGCTTAAACTGAGAGAAAATCACAGATTGCTGAACGTCTTTTCAGTTTGAATATGTCAAGCTGGATTTTTTAAGTATAAATAAATAAATAATCAGTGCAATGCTTATATTTAGATAAATATTAAATTGTAGTCTAAATATGTGTCAATACTTCTAGTAAACTTTGCATATTCTATAATGATATATAAATACAATTTACTTACCCATTTATAATTCCCAACTCAACTAAAACAAAACAATTTTTTTTTTTTTTTAGTAATAATTAATAATTTTATTTTTTTTTACCATTTTTCTTAGCATTCTTATTTTTTGTCACATTTTTGATGACTTAGTTAATTTATTTACCAATTTATATGCATAGATTTTCTTTTTATTTAGCCTAACACACTTTCTTTAAACTTAAAACTCTGTCATTAAATTCTGCTTAAGCGCAATGCGCTCTAACAATTTGCATTATAATTACCTTTTCTCTATATATAAATTTACTTTTACTATGCAGGACATTCCCGATTCAATAAACGGGTACACTCACACCGAATCGAACTGCCTTTACAGTTAGCAGTTGGCCATATCTATATAATATATATAAATATACATACAAATACAACAAAAATCGTAGTCTAAATAATTATTTTCTTTATACAAGTATTTATTTATTTACAAGTTGACTTAATCGTAATACATCTACCTCCACTTTCTTCAGATTTCTTTTCCTTTTGTTTTTGCTCGGAACATTTTCGCTACAAATAAAATTTTTCTACTAAGTTTCAGAGTCTTTTAGAAGTTGCCTTAATTTTAATTTTAATTTTTACTGATTTTTATTTATACTTTTAATTTTCTACACGTCTTTTTATGTTAATGTAATTATAGAGAATTTTCAGTTTATTCGACTTGGAGAGATATAGCCAACATATTTGAACAACCGAATATAGTTGTTGCTTTCTAATTTAGCTTTAGACTGAATTGGAATCTGTTTTAAATGATATCCTTTAATCGATATGGTATCGATAAATTTTCGATTTATTGACTGAGTCGCATTTATGTTCTCAAATATACATACATATACATACATTGATATGATTCAATAAGTAATCTTTGGATATGCGCCTATCGATATTTCTCTTTTGATATTGGAAAAGGATATGCCTTTAAATCTATGCGGAAGATAGGCCAGATGGTCATAATAGAATAGAACTTAGCTATGCACAGCACCTTAACGAGAACAGAACTATAACAGATTCATATATACATAGAACTACTTACACACGTATATACATACATATATATCTATCAGTATATATGTATATAATTAACACGATTAGCTGACCATCTAGTCTAGGTTTAGGTCTAGCCGCTTACGTCTGCTTCGCCATAGTCGAAGATCTTGCGTCTAGACGAATTAGACGCAGCTCTCGGGCACACGCTGGGTCATGAGGCAATCTTTAATCGCATTTATATTGATGTTGTCATCCAAATCCTGTGACGAATTGCACGAGGTGGTTGTTGTCGAGGTCACGCCCACGCCCATAACGCTGCCCACGCTGCCCAGCAGCAAGCTGGAACCGGAGCCCGGCTGATGATGTTGCTGATGATGATGATGTTGCTGCTGCTGCTGCTGCTGTTGCTGATGATGATGATGGCGATTCAAGGTGGCCGTGTGACCCTGCGTATGCTGCAGCCTGCCACTGGCATAGGCATTCAGTATATACCCACCGCCGCTGCCCAGGCCGGGCGGCAGAGTGCCGACGCCGCTGCTGTGCGCCGGCTGCAAATGCGCTGCCAGCGTCGCAGTCGAGGACAGCGATGTGGGCGATCCAATGATGGTGCCACCCATGCCCAGTGTCAATGGCTTCCCGCCACCCACACCGCCACCCATGCCCATCCCCATGCCCATGCCCAGGCTGCCCATCATGCTGCTGCTGGGCGAGATGACGGTGCTGCTGCAGCCCCCTCCCACCGCTGCGACGGCGGCCAGCAGCTGCGCTCGCTGTGCATTGATCTGGTTGTAGGTGACCGGCGGATTCGCCGGATCACTGGACAGCGCTGTAGTCGTCGTCATGGCCGGTGCCTGCAAGCATAGATGTGCATGGAAAAGTTAGAAAAGAATCACTCAACTGGAAAGCTTTCAGTTGCTATGCTAAACCAGCTACAGTCTCTGATATTTGTGCCTGAGTTGCGCCACATTTTGGTAAAGGCATTTGAACAATTTGCCAATGTAACGTGGCTAAATCATTTTAAAACTGTTTCATGCCAAATTTGTATGCACTTTCTCATGGCTGTTGATAAAGTTAGCTAGTTATAATTTAATGTTATTATTCATTTTATTATTCGGCATTTAATAAATCTATGCTAACCACACATTATCGTATCTGTGTGATGCTGTGCTCACAGATTCATTTATATTGTGCTTAATGAACTTTAATCCTATTATGATTTCAAGCGTATTCACATTTTTATCCAAATCGCCCCGAAATGTTGTGAGAGCATGAAAAGCGAATGTTTAATTATCGAAAAATATATTTCTTTTTTTCTTTTATTTTTGGCAGTTGAATTGGAAATTCTAATTGAAAACCTCTCGATGCGATTACCAGATTGCTGAATTGCATTGCTGCCTCCGCTGCTGCTGCTCCTGCTGTTGCTGCTGTTGCTGTTGCAGATTTTGCCTCGATTCGCCTGTTTCTGTTATGTTTGCCCATATTTAAAAATATTTAATTAACGAATTGAGTTATGCCCAATATGGGCAACGCTCCATAAGCCACGCCCCCACGCTGCCTGCTTGTAATTTAAATGTAATTGACATCAGTGCAGCCAAACTCCATTGGCTGCCCCAAGTCTCCCAGCAGCCCTGACTGCCTTTTATCTCCGGAACATGTTTTTTTTTTTGTTTTTATTTATATGCCTTTTGCAGTGAATAACTATTGTAGGGTGTATATGAATATAAAATTCATAAAGATTTTGCTTTATCGGTTTAATTAAAATTTAAATGCTGAAGGTATCTGTCAATGAATTATTACATCGTAAAAGCCTTCTCTTTAAGAAACTATTTTTTCGGATCATAGAGGCCAAAGGTTACTGATTACAGGGTGTCTGCTGGACCTTTCTACTTGTGCATACATTTTTCTCATATGTCAGAGCAGGGTATTTTTTAGGGTAGCCCAAACTGTTAAAGCATTTCAACGTGTTTAATTATTTATTAATTTATATTTTAAATACTTATTTGTTTTGTATGTATT